GAGACAAAGGTGAGGAGAGGACCAGAGGTCATAAGATGTTGTTGGTGAAAATGATGATGCTGACATAGTTTTGCAGCCCTCCTGCTATCCTCCGTCATGCACTGCAGAGGAGCAAGACGAATCAGCGTTCTCTGGTCCGCCCTCGTCCCTCCCACTCGCTCCCTCCATCTCTCTGTTTTGCGCCCACCTCGTCTCAAAAGTGTGATGCTCTGCAGTGCTGCACACTGAAGCCATCAGCTGTTTATCCCCAAGTCGGACAAGAGCACGCAGGCAGGAGCTGCTACATCATCCAACCCTGACAGGAGGTAAGACTCCTCACAGATGTTCAGCCGCAGCTCGGGGAATAGATATGAGCGCTAGGGTCATATCAAGGAGACAAGGAATATTCTAGAACATTTAGGTACGCATGGCATGATGACAGAAAATACCCACGTGCAGTGATGTGTAAACATTAGTCTATAACTTAACATTGAAAACTCGTTCTGTAGTATTAGAATTTGGATGTCGATAAATGCAAAAGTGTGTCAAGGGCATTGGGAAAATGTGAGGAATAGTTTAACAAGCAAGCAGTAAAGCAGGACAGAGAAAACATCTGTGCCCTCTTTCACTTTGAATCACGTCCAGTCATTGGATTGGGCCACATGTGGGCTCAGATCAAGTTCTGGAGGCAACTAGAGGACATTTAAAGCCGTTTAGATCAGATCATCTGAACAGTGTTTACCCAAAAGACATTTTTGCTGGACCAAAATATTTTGTATTTCTGTATTAGTTTCCATTTGTATCTTTTTGTTCTTTTTTTTTTGGTCTCCGTACATGAGATTACAGTAAATAATATCATGACCTCAACCAGACTGACCTAATAACCGCCTGGAGAGCACAAGCTGCTGGATGAGAAGCATTGTTTTTTATGGTTCATAACTCAATTTGGCGTGTCAATGCAACACAACAGAGTGTTTACGTTTTGTTTCTTATAAATGCTTTTTGTAATTTGCTTTTCTCTTTTTTTTTCAAAGTTGGATGGATGCTTTTCCATCATGCTCAAGTCTCTGTTTGTGTTTGGAGTGCTGGGAGGTGAGAATTACTTATTTAATATTTCTTCTCTGGTAATCGGAGACTTTCACTACTGTGAAAAAGGTTTATAATATATTAGATATATCTCTCAACACTCTCATCCCATATGCTCTTTTGTGATTTGCCCCAGTGTTGCTGATCCCAGCCAAGTGCGATCTGATATCTGTGTGTATTGAAGACGACAATGACCTGAGAGTTGACTGCACGATCAAGGCCAAGCCCAACAAGATCAACAGCTATGAGTTCTCTTGGTCCTCTGGAACCAAAGAGTTCCTCATTAACACCAATGTGTCCGGTTCATCAGCAGAGAGCAAGTTCAAAGACAAAAGCTACGTGGAGGAGCTGGAGCCTGACGGTTACAGAATGACCCTGACCGGCTTCACAGACAAACTCCCACACAACACCACCTACATGTGCAATATATCTGGGGAGACTGCCAGAGTCGATGTGGAGAGAGGTAGGTGGATTGTGTGTGTGTGGATCTGAGGCGGTGAGCATGAGAATGAGTGAGTGGGAGACGCGTTAAAGAGGATTTTGACAACTGTTTCCTCCCCACTTTTCTTCCTCTGCAGATCAACTTGTCCTGTGTTCAGCTGTGAGCGTATTTCTGAAGAGCTCCTGCTCCTGGATCGTTTGTCTTCTGCTCTTCGTCTATCAAACACACAGCTAAAAAAAAAAAAGACATGCAAGCTTGTGCTGGCTTACTCATATCTAACCACGCATCTGTCGACATCAAACATCGATCAAAAACACCCACATTTTCAATAGCTTGCAACCATGTCTCTCTTTCTTTTGTTTTCCTCCCAAGAGCACTGAAACAGTATTGAAATGTTTCTTTGACCAGAAAGAATGAAGATGACTCAACAGAAAAGTTTAGAGATGTGCTTTTTGCTGCTGAGGCACACACAGCTGTATGTGTATAAATACACAGAGTAACTTGGCATGGAAATATTACTTTGTAAGCTGCATTTGTTTTCAATAAAGAGATGCTATTTAAAGATAAATAATTTGTTGTGAATTTAGTGTTCTTAATAGTGGGACAGAACTGGGACACAGATGGAAATAATAAGATCTGAGAGGGGAGGTCAATTGTGGGAATTTATTTGGAGATTCAAATCTTCAGATGTTTCAGGTGTATAACGACCTCTCTCTCTCTCTCAATCTCTGTCACCCTACTCTCCCTTTTTTGTTTAAATTGTAAGAAGGAGCGACTTTTTGCGAATTCATTCATCTGGACGGACTGCCCTGGTCAGTTGGTGTTTTAGAAGAACACTATATCGAAAAGAATGTACAAAACAGACCAAAAACAAATAAATAAAGTAACAAAGAGGCTACAGGGACCTGAGGCTCTCTAACCCGTGCGCCTGCTGCACACGTGTCCTCCACTGAGTGCAGTCTGATACACACACACAAACACACATAGTCACCATGAATGGTCAAATTTTGAATACAACCAGTTTAAATGGTCAAATTTTGAATACAACCAGTAATTTCAAAACACACACACAAAGACGATTGGCAAAGATGATTGATCAGGATCAGTCTGGGGCCTCTTAGTTCCTCTTGTTGTGTTCTTCTTTTGTGGATATTTCATAATCAAAAAGAGTAATCTCAGAGTAATCTAAGGGTTATGCAACCTAAAATTCTTCTTTTGTGGTGTGATACAAGTTGCATCAGGCACCTGAGAAACATTGTAACCTATGAATTGTATGAACCATATAAATTATCATCGACCTCATATTGTTTGAATCGCTTGATAGAAGGCCACTTATTGCTTAGGATAGGGCTCCTACCTCATAAAGGTATCAGTCAAGACAACCCAAAGAGTACATATATTTGGAAGTTTCCTCTGTTATATAATCTATGCTTGGCAACAAAGCTTATAATCGGTTGTTACTGTGGTATCATGTTTTCATTGTGTTGAAACTAACCATGAGCAAGAGTGTCATAAGTCCAGAGTGAAATTAGGAACCACTAAATTCAGTCTTAAAAAAGAGATGGTTGCAACTAAAGGCCGTAATCAGGCCACGTAGCCTGTCCGGGCGGGGTGTAGTGCTCCATGCTGTCTCGCAAGACCAACACGTGAAGGCTACACTCATCCATGGCAGGCTCAGGCTGATGTAAACCTTCAGTTTTGAAGAATTGGGGCTGGCTTTTTGGGCTTGTGTGCAGGCAGAAGAAAGGGAAGGTGCAAATCTTAACTTGTGTTAAATTTTAAAGAAACTTTTCTCCGGACTTTTGGCACAACACTTTGCTCACTGGTGTAGGCTTCATTCTATTCGGGTGTTGCAAACTGTTTGTGAACCATTTTTTGTCTATATTTGTATCCAAATAGATATACTTTGAATCAATTTGAATAAACAAGTTAAAGCTTAATTATTTTCTACGGCTCCATTTTTTCATCTTGATCGGGACAAAGAACCAAGAGAGAGGGGCCTATTCTACGGGGTACCACTCAGCCCCTGAGGTAAGCTGAAGAACTGCTCACACTACGGCACATGTGCTGATTTCATCACACACACACACTCTCACACACAGGGTCACAGGCAATAGGGAAGTAGGAGAGACCTGACGACAGTGTGAAAAGATTTAAACCAGTGGATCACAGGGTAGGAAGATACAAATTATTCTTGTTCCCCCGAATAGATATCCGAGCACTATACTATATCGAAACCAAAGTATAGGGTTAGAGGGTGAATTAAAATAAAATAAGAAGAAACAAAAGATCCATGTTCCGCTGTTTAAAACAATAAACTAACAGACCGTCGGTATAGGTTTATCTCTTTAAAAAATACATTTTTAGAACGTGCCGGAGAGAAAGGAGAAGCACGTGACAAAATAAACAAAAAAACTCTAACTTGATGCTCTCACTAATACTGCTACTAATACTAATACTACTGCAGCTACTATTACTACCACTACTATTACTACGACTGCTCCTACTACTACCACTTTAGTACTGCTACTGATACTACTACTACTCCTTTCACTACTGTTGAAACTAATACTACTAAAACTACTACTGCTACAAATGCAAGTCCTGCTGCTGCTGATACCCTGCTGCTACCTCTACTACTGCTGCTACTGTTATAATTACTACTCTTGCTACTCCTACGACTTCCTTACTACTACCTATATTACAAATTTTACTATTTTGACAGTAAAACAGTTTAGCTTTCAGCTTTTCCGGCAATGAATTTCAGCTCTTACCTTTTTTAGATACTGCGGTTCAGCTTCCAACTCTGCCAATTTTACAATTCAACTACCAGGTTTTTGAGGAGTACAGTTCATAGCTTTGAGGCATAACATTTATTTTGAGGAAAGTCAACTCACATTTCCGAATGTTAAGCAATGTTTGCAATTGGTTTCAGCTGTCAGCATTCCCACACATTTTCTGCAGGAAATGCAATTGAGAAATTTCTAGTTCTTCTACTATTTCTTCCATACATTATTTTGATTTCTAACTATTTCTGCATACTTTCAGTTACAGAAACTGTTCGACTATCCAAATACTCAGCTCTTTAGGACATGTATGCTTTACCTTATACTCTATGAAATATTAAGCTTTTTCACTTTTTTAATAATGGAAAAAATCCTCGAATCCTCTTAATTTATTATGGGAATGCTGACTCAGCAGCATTTTCACTATTGTTAAATTACCAAGTCAGTAACTAATCAAATCAATCACTAAGAACTGCACGAGTATGACACAGCTATAAAACTGTGCAAGAAGGGCATTATTCATATAATCATATAAAGACATTTTAATATATAATCTCACTTTTTTTAATCGTGGAGCTGTCACCATTTGACGCCCCATTTATTCCATGATGTTGTCATTTATAATCAGGTTAAAGTGAGATTATTCGCCTTTAGCAATTTGCAATATGCCATTCTTGACCCTCGGTGCTAACCGTAGTTTCCGACAACATAACGATGGCCGCTTCAACCAGCAGTGAAGGAACAGAACTATCTAAAGCTGAGTACCTAAAACGTTATTTATCTGCTGACGAAGATGACAAGAAGTCAAAGGGGAAACTTAAAAAGAAACGTCGTAAACTTCCTGAGAAAGGGTGAGTCGACGGGGACGTTTTGATCCAGCTCTTGTGTGTGTGTTAGCTGCTAAACTAGCAGAGGAAGCTAGCTCGTACTTCTTGTTTATGAATGAAACGTGCGTGTACTTAACTCACTTTTACTTCTCTTGTTCAAGACTTAAAATAGTCGACGATGACATAGACTGGAAACAGATGGTCATAGAGGAAAATGAGATTGAAGAGGACGAAGAGGAAGCTCCAGTGGTGAGAATTAAATCGTTATCTGACGTTAGCTGGCTAGCCAGTGCCCATTCATTCACATGGAGTTATTAGCTTGTTCTTTGTAACTGTTGCACCTTAAGAAATACTCTCACTGTATAACGTTACATGCATTTCTTATCACGGGGTGGTAATAAGGTTTGTAATAAATATCCAAATAAAATCACAGCGATTTTAATATTACTTAAAATCGCTTATTTTGTTGACCAACAGTCAGATATAAATACATTCAATTTTGGAAAATCAAGGCATGCCATCAATTGCCATACATTGATGCTAAAACCAGACCCCCTCGTTAATTTGCAACACTAACTATAATTCTCTCACACAAGCAGAGGTATTAAAGAGATGGCTACCATGCATGGCAGAAATCTATCATGGTTGTCAAATATTCACCAAACCCTCCTCTGGAAATGTCATCTGTTGTGTTTGTCTGCTTAGATTGCTGAGATGATTGACGATCGACCAGAAGACGTGAAACAGTTGGAAGCCTTCAGAACTAGCAATAGATGGAAAGTAATTGGAGGTAATTGCTATTTGTGAATGTAGTAAAGTGTTGTTGTTGTTGTTGTTGTTGTTGTTGTTGTTTTTGTCTGAACAAGCTCGTTAACTTTGAGTCTCCGCTCCTAATAGCTGACGAAAATGAAGACGTGGAAGACGTGGAAGACGTGGAAGGTGTGGAAGGCAGCGACCTTCAACATCCAGAGCCTGTGGCATCAAGCAGGAGTCGCCATGACTCTCCAGACACATCCCCCCCTAGGAGAAGTCGCCATGACTCTCCAGGGGTGTCACCTCCTAGGTCAGGGAAAAGTAAAGATGAGAAAGGTAATGAGAAACCAACAACCAGAGGACCTTCCAACATTTGTACGCTGTAAATTACCATATTTCTTCATGGAAATGCATTGGAAAGATACCTATTGAGTTGTCTAGTTCATCCATCAGTACTTTTGTTCAAGTGTTTAGTTGTACAAACACTTCACTAAACAATTCATTATTTCTTTTTCAGATTTATCCCCTACCAGAAGACAGCCCATTAAAAATCGTTCACCTAATTCTCAACGGTCACCACTGGCAAAGAGTGCTCAGAACAGGCACGATTCAGACGTAGACCAGTCACCTCCACGGAAAAAGCCAATAAAGGGAGAAGCTTCAGACTCCGACCAATCTCCTCCAAGGAGGCAGTCGAAAACAAAACAAGGCTCTGATTCCGACCAGTCGCCACCCAGGAGGCGGCCACGAAATGAAAAGAACCCGGATGAAGATCTGTCACCACCTCGTAGGCCCGGCCAGTCACAGGTGAGCAAAAAGAAGTTCAAAGAGTGAGATGAAATCTTATTTTGCCTAAAATTGCTGTGTTTATGCAATATCCAATTGATCAGTCCCACGGTGTACTTCCTGTTTTCTTCTCAGGGTTCGAGAATGCTTTCTGGCGGGAAGGCAGGTCTGGTTTCTGTCGATATTTTAAGGAGGGAGAAGGAGGAGAACCGTCGCAGAGAAAGATACAACCAGCCACTGGAAGGTTGGCTTTTCTTTTTCCTTCACAGCTGTTGACTACAGAGCTCACAGGACTTTCCATCTCATATTCTAGACATGACTCGTGCCTACTCCAAATGTCTTTGACCGTAGTTGTGATTTGTTCTTTTAAGTTGGATGATGCAGTCCTCATTCAGATGACATTTTTATACCTATTTTTCCTGCTATTGCTAGATGCATCCCGAAATGCCCAGACGGTGTTCCGAGACAAGAGTGGTAAAAAGAGGGATTTGGAAACTGAGAGAGAAGAAAAGAAGAGAAAAGCCGGTGAAAAAGCAGCAAAGGACGAGAAATACGCTCAGTGGGGTAAAGGGTAAGTGTGCATTCATTCAGTTTCACACATCAGGGAATGCTACAGTGTGCTTGGGATCACACATTGATTTGAAATGTTTTGTGTGCTGATTTGTTTCCATGATTTAAACTCAACGTGTGTTTATAGGTTGGCCCAGGGCCAGATGCATCAGCAGAAACTTGAGGATGCAGTTCATGAAGCCCAGAAGCCTCTGGCACGTCAACGCGATGACGAGGACCTTGACCGCATGTTGAGAGAGCAACAAAGGGATGGAGATCCGATGGCTGCCATGCTCAGACGGAAAAAGGACCGCAGTACGGCACAAGGTGAAATATGTCTCCCTTTTTCCTGTGTTGACTGATGCAAAATGGTTTCTACCACATCTATTATACTGTAAATCATCTTAATTTTGTTTTGCAGACAAACCTCGATATAAAGGCCCACCCCCACCACCAAACCGCTTCAATATTCTACCAGGCTATCGCTGGGATGGAGTTGACAGGTACTGTGTGTGTGTGTGTGTGTGTGTGGGGGGGTGAGAATCTGTAAAAGAGGGACTAAAAGTTTGCAGTTCATACTATTCACTTGTAATACAGTTGCCTTAGTATGTGTACAATAATTATGATGACAATTCGGCCTCTACTTTAAATTGAACATGTCGGGGAGCTTTTATTGGAGATGTGCTCTGGTGCATCAAATCGAAGATGAAGTCGATGTTGTGATTGCAGAAATAACAGTAGAATTTGATGTGTGTGTGTGTGTGTGTGTGTGTGTGTGTGTGTGTGTGTGTGTGTGTGTGTGTGTGTGTGTGTTACAGGTCAAATGGTTTTGAACAGAAACGCTACTCTCGAATGGCAGATAAGAAGGCCGTCCAGGAGGAAGCCTATAAATGGAGCGTGGAGGACATGTAATGGCAACAAGAAACTGATGGATCAGGAGCGGAGTTGAAGAGCAGGACGGCTCATCCATAGAATTAGGCAGAATATCTAAACAATGATGTTAAAGAAACTGCAGATTATACACGTCTACTCAACAAAACCCATACTTTGAAATAGACAGGACGATTGTGTTCACTTTTCAAAGCTGTTTGATACTGTACAGGGGACTTCAGACTATAACAAAGCGGTTAAACATAATTGTACATAGCAGTGAAGTGACATCATCTTTATTATTTTGTAATAATTGAGTCAATGTGGAGCCAAAACCGATGTTTTTCACTGATTTATTAAATAATGTTTTTGTAAAGAACTGTGCCTTTGTCACATGTGTTCACATAGAGCAATGACATTTGTAAATGACATGAATATAGCCGACGTTCAGTCATTTCATATTATGGAGCTGTATATTATGAAGTACTGAAGTATTTCACACTGAGGACATTTAAAAATATGTTGCATAGTAAGTGGACCTTTAGTAAGTGGACCTTTAGTGAGGATGGTTTTGTCAAAGTACTGTTTCAATATCATTAATGAACTCAGTGCTTTACTTTTAAGCCAATATGAACACGTACTTAAAGTACACAAATGAAAGTGTGTGCAAAGTAGTACAAGTTTGACCGATATCTGATTAATATAAGGCACTGGAAATCTGGAACGGTGAGAGCGATTTATTTCAAAATGCATACTTATCGACAGATATTGTAAATAAATGTGCGTCTGTAGTTATTTACGCACAATTATAAATAAGGAACATTTTCTTGAAACGTCGGGTCTCTGTCAACTACCCTAATTAAAAGTAACTCAATCATAATCGAGTAAGCGGGAACCTGTAAAACGCGACAGACTCGTTGCACCACGGAAGGATTTATTGGTGCACACTACAGGATACTTGCTGTTGTGGTGAATTCGAAGAGGTAAACATCTAACCGAGGAGCTATGTAAGTCTGTACCTATTGTCCAATAATGTAGCGAAACTGTCGCTGAAACTCGTGTATTGAAGAAGGCCACCTTTGTGACTTCTTTGTGGATAACAATGGCGGACTGGAGCCCGATAGCGAAGGTGTACGACTCGCTGAAAGCTGGCAGCATCGACGGCACGGATGTGGAGCCCCATGACCGGGCGGTATGGAGGGCTATGGGTGCCCGCTATAAACCCAACAAAGGCGTTGTTGGAGACCCACACCTCACCCTGTTTGTGTATCGACTGAACCCGCTGACAACTGAGGATAAGCTGCACCAAGTGTTCTCCAAGTACGGAGACATCCAACGGCTCCGGCTGGTCCGGGACATCGTCACGGGCTTCTCCAAAGGGTACGCCTTCATCGAGTACAAGGAGGAGCGCTCTGTGGTCCGGGCCCGCCGGGACGCCAACAAATTGGTGGTCGACCAGCACGAAGTGTTTGTGGATTTTGAACAAGAGAGGGCGCTTAAGGGCTGGGTCCCCCGGCGACTCGGCGGCGGGCAGGGAGGGAAGAAAGAGTCCGGACAGCTGCGGTTCGGCGGCAGAGACAGACCGTTCCGCAAACCCATTAACCTCGGGGTCGGTCCGGTGCAGGACTGGGGAGGAGGAGGAGGAGGAGGAGGAGGCGGCGGCGGTGGTGGTGGTGGTGGTGGAGGAGGGAGGGAGTGGGATCGACAGGGGACGAGAGACAGGGAGGACCGGGACCGACACAGAGAGGCCGAGTGGGGCAGCAGAGGGAGGAGAGATGACCGGGACAGAGAGCGGGATGACCGCAGACAGGGAGACAGGAGCCGGTACCGGGACAGGAGATGACGATCACATTTAAGACACTGGATTAAACTCCTTAGTACTGATCTCACCTTTCGATCCACAGACCAGCTTCCTGCTTCATATGGAGGACTTTATAGCCTGTAAGGACTATGGACCATAAGCAGTTCAATAACAAATGACACGTTTCCTGGTTATGTTCATCAGATTGCACTGCATGGTGATGAGATGTCATTTCCAGATGGTTCTCTTGAGTATTTCTCAAAAATCTGACATAGTAAATGCTTTTGTACTTTAGATTGAGCATCAAAAACTGTTTATTAAAATTCACCATATATAAAAAAAAAATACACTGTACATTGTTTTAAAATCAGAATCGGCTGCTAATTATACATTTCTTTATTTTTAGTATCTGCAAAGTACCTGTAAATATAATTGAATCTGTTACACATTTTCTCTCTTCATAAGTCCGATGATTCTGTTTCTGACACAGTCAATGTGTTGAAATGTTAGTGTTGAAACACATTAGGATTTCCTAAAGTGAGCAGTTAATTTAGCTTCTCTGTCGAACATGTTTTTACAAAGATCTTTAGAGCATCATACTTGGTAAAGAAGCCAAATAAACCATGAATGGTTTTAACACAATGGTGTCGCTTTCCTTGTTCTTGGATCAAAATAACTAAGATCTTCCTCCGTAAATGTATTTTACAGCTTTGCTGAGTTCGCTGTGTAATTGTAATGCAAGAAATATAGATTCAACCATAAAGGTCTCTAATATGAATTATAAAAGCAACTCCATTCATTACAATAAAAACATTAATCTTTACTTAACTATTTCTTGTTTTTGGTAGCCAACGGAGTGCACAAAGACACGATTATATCTTTGAGCAGTTTGGTATTTCATCCCCGCTGCCCACTGAAGCAGGTCATGTTTTATTCATGAGTCACTGGGTGGATTGTTTTCTCTCAAGCTGACCACAAGTCTGTCTGCAGTCATCAATATGAAAGGTTAAAGGTCTCGTGTTAGCATTAGCTCATTCAGTCTTATCCAGTAACTGGACACGTCATCAGTCCATTAGCTCATCACTGCTGGGAAATTCATCACTTGTTGCCTGAGAAGAAGCTGAACCTGAGAAACGGTCTGAGTCATCGGTAACACTGATGTAATAAACCAAAGCAACTACAGGATCTGATTGCACTTGAGAGCATATTGAATAAAGTATATGTTTCCAGACAGACACACTACTGGATGTGGTTAGAGAAGGAGAACTCAATACCTCTAACACAAACCCCCGACTTCAATTCCACTCCAACTATTTCTGAATTGATGAGTAAAAGTGAATGTTATAGTGTTCTTTAAAAGATAAGACTGTGAAATTGATGCAAAGACTCATGAAAGCGCTCCAAACTGCATGTTTTTCATCAGTTTTTAAAATCATATTTATTATGGTGCACTATGATTATAGCAAGCTATTGCCAGCCATGACTACTATCTTTGACATTTATTTATTCGTGTTTAATTGTCCGGATGACGCCGCTCTCAGCCTCCCGGCATAAGTGGGATTCATGATGGGCCAACCAGGGAAAGTCTCTCTTTGCACTGTGCCGAAGTCCATCCTGTGAACCGAAGCACACAGACACTGATGAGCTGCTCTCTCTGCTCAGCTGTAGTAGACTAGTGATAGTGACTAAGCTCGCTCTCACCTGAAGGCAGGGTTGATGCCGATGTTGTCTGGCTGTGGGAGGGCAGGTGTTCGCCTCCTGCGGCAGGAGGACGGAGGAGGAAAATCCTTCTGATACTGAGACTGCATGTGTGTCGTGTCTGGTTCATTTGTCACTGCTGCCTGAACATCCTCCCCTGGTCCACAGTCCCGGCTGCTGTTTCCTCTTCCTGTTTGTCTTGAGGATGTGGGATGAGACCGATGGAACTCCTGCTGTGTGTTCGGGGCGATATGGTCTCCTGAAGGGTAATCATAACACTGGTATGGGTTTAGTTTCACAAATAACATTGAAATATCCCATGAAACAGTTCTTTTTTCCTGTATATAGAGTACACATGGAAAAAATAAAGCATCATTTTACCCCCTGTCCTTAGACCCTCACATAGGATGAGGTAATCTAACTAATTAAAAATTCAGGCAAAAAGTTTGCTGTCCTAAATATGTTATTTTATGTAAATGTAGTTAAGCCTGGAGAAAGCCATCTTTAAGACCGAAAGCTACACTCTCGTTAATTCAACCAGTACTTTTCTGGCAATGTTTAGCAATCAATAAAAATGTATTTAGGTCAGTAAAATCCTTTTTTTTTTCATACTTCTGCATAAACAATACAATATAATAAAAGCATTTTATTTTATATACAAACATTCTTTTATGTTTGTAGTATAACTATTATTAGTATTTCATTATAATGACTAAACCTTTAAATAAAAAACTCAAACTCACTTTCTAATCTCTGCCCTCACACACACACACACACAAACAAAACACACACATACTGTATATCCACCAACACATTGCCTGGCATGGCTATTTTCAGCAGTGCAACACATTATGTCCACACATACACAAGTCACTCAAGGCTTATCTTAAAACAGATAAAAAGAGTTTACTCTCTCGGTTGAGATAAGACTGCAGACCTTTGCCTCGGTCTTGTTGTGAGACGCGTCTAAAGCAGAAAGCTTCTCGTGACGTGGTCTCCATCTTAGTGGGAGTGTCCGGGTAGAGGAGAAATCCTGGGGAAGTCAGGACATACCAGGGAGGGGAAAAAATCTGCTTTAAAAGAGCTTGATTGTAGGAAATAATCAGGCACTTTGAGTAGTTAAATGTAGTTGTTGTTTTCAGATTCCTCTCCTTTTAACAATACTTTGGTGGAATTCCAACACATCACAGCCGGACTAACTTCACTTAACATTTGCTGAAATCTTTCCAATCAGGTGTTTTTATTTTAATGTTTGAAATGGAATAGCCAATAGACTATCCTCTTAAATATGGAGATGTCAGTTGTGACTCATTTAGACCCATTTCATTTGAACACTGTAAAAATAACAAGGTTGCTCAATTATTCACACTTAAACAATATCTATGATAAGAATACAATGTTTTCAGAAAATTGCCCTGAGATTAATGCAAACCCACATAAATAGTGATACATTTAGATGTTTATCGTAGGAACCTACATACATCTACTCAGCATCATATTTAGCCAAACCTCTTATTGTTCTAGTTGTCTTTTATTTCTTGTCATTGCGGCCATCAGTCTTCTGTCCTGAACCACAATATATTTGAACAACAAAACCACATGAAAACACAGTAATATGTGTCTATTAAGTTGGTAATGAGTCATTTGAGAACATAACTCTGATATTGAGACAGAGGAGCAGGAAACCTTTACCTGCCACTGTCGGCGGCTCCCCTCTGTAGGGTCGACTGCGCAGAAAGAATTCATGGTGGCGACGGGGATTTTGTGGATCGGCATTTTTGATAAACATTTTGTCTGTTGCCTCGTGGCTGTGCTCTTGTACCACCAGCTGTTCTGAATGTTTTGGTTTCTACAACAAATACTGAAAAAAAAGGACCACAGGTTTAGTGTATTCAGTAGTTAGTAGAACATACTGTGATAGAAAGTATAGGTACAATTGTTGCAATCCTTATCACATGTTGAATGTATTTAAAATCACAATATAACGCTCTTAAGAGAGTTAATGACTGTGTTGCTTACCTTGCACGTAGAAAAAACTCAAGCTGTGGTACAATTCTGCAGTGTTTCCTTATATACTGTCTACATTTATCTGTACTGTGTGTGTGTGTGTGTGTGTGAGGCTATACAAAGAGAGACTTAAAGCGTGTTTACTGCAGTAGTCATGGTGTAAAATTCCTCTCCAATGAATGACAGATACAGTAGTTACCAAGTGAGACAATAAAGCAGCTGGGTCACCAACAGAGAGCGGAAACATGGTCCAGTATGAAAGGTTTTGAAGCAGGGCTGAGTTAACAACAAGTGAGACACTTCTCAGCAAGCTAGAGGGGCCGAGCTGAGCCTTTTACCCAGGCCACCTGTCTACAATGTCATGTCATCAGGGATTCAAGTAAGATGTACAGTGAGTATAATGGTATTAAATACATTTACAGTTGTGTATAGTCACTCACACCGCGCTGTCAAAAAACAGAAACATGTTGTCTATTCATTGGTTGCCCTGGAGCATTTGGCCGGCACTCAGCAATGCTCTGTGCCTCCCAGTGTTCAGCTGGCATGAATCCCAAATATATTTCTTTCACAACAGAGGGCCTGTTTCAGCCTGTAACTTCTCAGTAGGGAACTTTATACTTAAAACATACATAGTAGTTTTACCAAATATATTCTTAATGTATTCCGTGGGCAGAATGTTCCCGCAAACCTGCAAGTCACTTTCATTGTTAATATAGACTGCTAGGTTGTGTTGAGGACTGAAGGATTATATTTTACTTCATCCACAACATCTCATATAAGATAAAAGGTAGGATTTGAATACAAAAGATGAAAAAAAACAAAAGATACCAATTATACAAACACTTAAAAACAAGTATCACTTGCATTAGATTAGTTAAATGTTTTATTTGTCTATATCTTTATGAAATTTACTATTATCACTTCAGAGAATCACCCTATTATTATACAATATTTACATATTTATTATAAAAAAGTATTATTATTATTAGTAGTAGTAGAAGTAGAAGTAGTAGTATTGTTGTTGTTGTTGTTGTATACAGATGCAGCCGAGATTATGTTAAATTATGCATAATATTATTATTATGACGAGTTTCGCAAACTTCGCACTGATTTCAGCACGCGCCACCACCAGGAGTCTCCCGTTCCCATAGTAACAAGCCTTCAGCTAGAGCCGTATGTAGACAGAGTTAAGCTGCGCAGCGTTTTACCGGCCGCTATGATACGTTCAACATTAGCCTCTGGCGCCTTCTTTCAGCGACTTGTATTGTTTTCTGCATAAAGGAAAGTCCACTAAAAAGGTCAACGCGTTGTTATATGTGAACTTATTGGTATTAAACCCGGTGTGAGAAGCAGTGTAGGGCTCGCGCTCCCAAAGACTCTGTTGTGTTTCAGTGTCCGGAAGTTGTGAGGGGGAAAAGTAGGAAAGGCATGAACAAAAAAAAGAGGTGGAAGAAACTTCTGACCAATTTTTCCTCCGAGCCCATTGAAACCACCGGTTTCTCTGGTGAATCTCACCACGGGCACGGTTGAGGTGTCTTACTTTACGTGATCTAATAGTTAGTATTGTGCATTAATTGATCGATATGGGTCTGCCGACGCTGGAGTTTAGTGACTCTTTCCTGGACAGTCCGGAGTTCAGAGAGCGGCTGCAGTGCCATGAGATCGAGCTGGAGCGCACCAACAGGTTTATAAAAGACCTCATCAAAGATGGAAACATGCTCGTGTCTGCGCTCAGAAGTAAGTACACGATGGTTAACATCTTGTCTTTGGGGGGGATAGAAGTGTAGCGTGTTACGGTACGTTTAGTACTGGTACGTTCTGCAGAGCAACCCAAGGCCATCAATTCAAACAGAGCCAGAGTGAGTTCAGACTAACGTTACTTTAGACTTTAACAGCTAAACGCCAATGCATTGCTTTTTATTTAGGTGGTATGAGCAGTTAGGTATTATGGTATTATTATGTATGGGCTATTGTGTCGTTACCGTCATGCGAGAATAGATGTTTTACTTATTCTACCATGATAGCTTAGACTGTATGTGTCCTAGTCTGGTTTTATATGCTATGTATACAGTTTCTTAACCATAGAGATGAGTAAAATAATCAGTGAATGTTTCTATTTGCTATTAATGGATTTATTATCAATGTCTTCTGCCACTTTAGTAGCTGTAACATGAAAAGTACAAATGGTCATATTTATAATGTTTCTTTTTTGTCGGTACTGAGATATTTCATCAGTTTGACATCCTCAGATTGCTTGTTGTGTCTGACTTATAGTACAAAACTCTAACATAGTCGTCAACACAATTATGTCGTTAACACAAAAGTTTTGAATCCTTTATAAATTACTTGAATGATTCATAAATCGTCAAACTTGTTGACAGTTCATGTTCTTTAAACCATCTAATCCATTGATTGATGAAAGGTTTCAGCCTGACGTGATAAGGTCCCTAAAGAGTTTGCTGCTTTGGGACCTGATCTTCAGTTCCCCGTTTTGAAATCCTAAGACTTTTATTAGTCATATTGTCATAATCATATGTCATCATCTAATGAAGACTTTCAAAACGCAGGCACCTCCCATTTGTTGGTAGTTTCTTTTGATCCCCTCCAGTTTTAGCTCAAACACACCTACGCTTTGTGGCTGCCTGAGGTCATTGGTGTGAACACTGCTGCTGCCTGCCAGACTCTCACACACACACACACACACACACACACAAACTGTGTGCAGAATAACTGTCACCACAACCACCAGAGCCGCCACAAAATGATATTAATTGAAGTGTTTGTATTGCCGATGGAAAATAAAATTAACTTTTCTGTCTTCAAACTGACAATCAAAATGACTGCACCAGATTTTTCCCCCCGTGTCTGCAAACAACACTGATGTAAGCAGAGCTTTTACAGCCCTTTGGTCCAAATCTTGTGCTTTTGAATAACAATATGTCAACAACGCAATTTAGGTTTCCAGCGTAGAATAACAATGTTTACTGTGCTTTTGTTCTTTTTTTCTGAACTCCAGGCAGTAATCTGCTATAAACTGCTCGTAAACGACACTTTAATTAATGGTTTTATTATCAGTGTGTAATGTAGTGGTATGATTAAAATAGTGCCTTACATTGGCTGGCATGTTAAAGATGTGTGAGTGAGAGAATGCAGCCTTGTGCTGCCAAGCATTCGTGCATGTCAGAGATTAAAAGGGGTTATTAAACTCTATTATTAAAGTGTGGTTTGGACACATAAACAGTTTGTTGCAGGGTGAAACCATTTGTTTACAGAGTTTGACACCTCATGTCTTGGCAGTAGATGATATGCAAGAGTCCTGTAGGAAACTACATTCATAGTTTACTGCAGGTGGGAATAAGTGATGCTGCGTGTAGCCTGTAGGAGAATGGCAGCATAACATGGTGTTGGACCAACGATGGCAGATTGCAAACTCATGCCGAGAGCATTCCTGTCTATAATATGTAAATCGTGAAATTGTATTAGTTATGGCAATAATATAATTGTTTGCTTTAAATGAATGAACTGTCTGCTTTTCACAGGTCTTTCTCTTGCTGTTCAACGGTTCTCTCAGTCTCTGCAGGAGTTTCAGTTTGAATGTATTGGAGACGCTGAGACTGATGATGAGATCAGTATAGGTAAGATGAATTAGAAAACAAGAGGCTGAGCCTGCAAAATATACCGAATATGATCCACATTTGAGGTGTAACATTTATTTTGCAGCTCAGTCCTTGAAGGAGTTCTCTCAGCTCTTGAGCACCATGGAAGAGGAGAGAAAACGACTGGTAAGAAGGTTTGTGTGTGTGTGTGTGTGTGTGTATGTGTGTGTGTGTGTGTGTGAGAGAGAGAAAGAGAGAGTGAATGCAGGTTTATGCTCCACATTTTTTTTTTAAGTGAGTAAAGTAAGGAATGTTTCAAAATTGAGGACATTCTGTTGTCTTTGTGACGTTGAAAAGAGGCCATTTTACATGGAGGGTGAGTGGTAAACAGTAAATTGGTCAATGTATGAGTTCCATTGTACTTTATACAATGTAAAGCTTTGTTTATTATTGCTTATTAATTAATGAGATTTAGAAGTGTAACCCTTTTGAAAAACAATCCACCAAAAACCTTGAATGGATATCTGCAAAAGATTTCTTTCTATTCATTTTTGACATTTTTTAGAGTTTTCTTTGTCTTTGTACGGCATCCTTCTCTACATCAATAAAATGGTTGTGATTCATATATATTTGTTCAGGAATGGAAACAACAGACTTCTGAAGGGCTTTAGAAAGAAATGATACAGAGAAGTTTCTTTTGGTTTAAGGCATCTTGTGTTGCAGTTTCTCGGGGTCTGAAAAGTGAAGCCAACGCCTTTAAGTGCCTTAAACTGCCAGCACAGGGCAACTCCTCTGGTTGCAAAAAAAGTCTGATTGTATTAAAGCCTATGAGAAAATGACTCTACTTCTTACATGATTTATTACCTCAGTAAACATTGTAAACATGCGTTTATGATCCCAATCACACGTTTCAAGTCTTCTTCAATACAGCATGACGTTCGTTTAGTAAATGATGTTCCCATTTAACTTCAACACTTTCAGAAGTATGTTTTCAGTTCATGAAAGTTAATTGGAACATGTTGGTTGCCTTATTCCGCTTTAGGTTGTACTACAAGGTGTCTTCGTCCAATCCTTCTATACGGTCTGTGTCTGTGATCAGCCAGCGCTGATCTGAATACACCATTAGACCAAAAGCCCCTTCTAAATCAAATTGTTTTCACCAAAGTCGGTACGAATAGTTTCCAGGATTTAAAGTTTGAACATTACAGTCATTGTTAGGCATCTTCACTTGGTGCACCACTCTGACTTCTACAAGCCTCTTGTCCAAATCTCATTTTCACACAAGTCTGAGTGACACATTTGTTGTGGACTTTGTGCCAGCGGCAGTGTGTGCTCCGCGACGATTCTGAAAAACATCTTTGAACTAGACACCCTCCATCAACCAGAAGGCTTTGTGTGGGAGTGATTGGAGTCTGGCACAGTCTGTGTGCAGGCAAACCTCCGCGCATGTGCAATGTATGTGCATAGTACGTTACCTTATGCAAAGCCCTCTGTCTGTGTGTCTGTGTGTGTGTGTGTGTGTGTGTGTGTGTGTGTGTGTGTGTGTGTGT